TGCCGGTAAGTTTTCTTGACTCGTTAGTTTGAATTTTGTTGTGACGATGTAACCTCGCTCTGAAGATGTCGTCACATGACGCACGAAAGCTTAGCACATTTTCACCGGAATCGAAGAAGATTGCCTCGGAAACAGCGTCAGCATTAATGTTCCAGTAAAGCCAATCGACAGTTGGTCTTTGAATCTCTTCATGGCACACGTTCACTCGAAACCCAACTCTTCTTCGCATCCACTGATACAACGTTTAGGAAGGCTCCGGGTCACCCTTAAAAGCATGGCATATTCACTGAACGGGTGTAGATTACGATTGTAAAAATAGGATGGAAGTTAACAGTGCTTTCAGACGTAGCTCTTGAGACATTATGTGAATATCATAATCATTTTAGTGAATCCAACAAATGAAAAAAATATACAAAATAGCACAGATTAGATTTAATTCCCTTTGAAGTATCCAAGTTCGCGTTACAAGTGCAACTTTCTATCTTCTACTGCCAAATATACGCTTACAGCGAGGATAAAAGTCCTTCCAGAAACTCGCCTCTATCGACATTCCTGCCCATCTTAAGCGGGTGAAAAGTATAGACAGATCACTTAATCTTCCACAATCGTGGCGGTTTAACGGAGCATCTGAACGTGGGATTAAAATGCCATAATGCAACTGCCCTGCAGGAAATCTTCATCATCCTCCGAGCCGTCGTAGAGAGTGGAGGCCTTCTCCCAAGCCTCGATTGCCTCGCCCTGAGCCAGACCTCCGAGTCTTTGAAGAACGCTCAAATCTCCGCCGGTCGCCTCAAACGCTTTGTATTCAGCTTCCGTCAGCATCACTATCTTTTCAATCAAACGACCGCTTTTGGTGCGCACCATCACCTTCACCTGAGACGGGAATGTGCAGGAAAAATGTAATTTATTGTAAATATTTACCTTTTCGACAGGACTGAAGAGAACTTTTCTTTGTACACATGTGGCTATGCTCATTAAAAATACACGGAATTTATATTTTTGAGTTAAATCTTCCATTTGATTATCGCCGCAATCATGAAAGGTACTTAAAAGTGGTTACGACTACAGACAATATTCCCTAGTATTCTGGTTTTAGATTAACCCGTGAATGCTGCCCCATAAACTAAGGAAACAACGTATTTCTCTCATTATTTCACTCAAATACTGATTTCTTTTGAAACAAAATTGTCCCTTTGACGGCTAGCCTACTGCTCGCGACAACCAGTAGTCACGGGAAGTGATGCTATTCGGCTTCACGACCATAGGCTTACCTCTATTC